CTCAACCACCCCTCAGGACCCCATCAGTGGGGGCCAAATGCAGCGGAGCCCCAGCAAGCACTGCCACCTCTTCTCGGCATCACTGAAGCATCCGCTGCTGCGAGATGAATGCAATTATATCTTAATAAAATTTTAATACAGGGAATTATGCACTTTGCATCCAACCAACAATTAGCTGTTGCTATGCTACAGCCAGAGTGTAATCACAATAATGAAGCCAGCCAAGGGAAGGCATTAATCAGGAGGTATATCATTAGCCAACCTCACCCCCTGCCTCCCCAGCTCCTGATTCAGAGCCTCCTGTTGCTTTCACATGAAAAACAACCCCAAAACAAAGTGAACCCCAGGTTTGGAGGGAGCGGCCCCTCTCTGGGCACCGTTTCCCATCCCAGCCATGACTGGGTTTGGCCAAGTAGCCAAAGCTGCCTGTACCCCACTGCTCCAGCGCTGAAACCCTGTGAGCAGTAGCAATTCCCCCTCCCCAACTTCCACATCTTTTGATCATTTATTCCTTGGATCCAAAGGAAACATCCGATGAACCGGAGATGTGGGGGAAAATGGCAGCTGACGGAGCTTCTGCGGATGGAAGGTGAAGAAATTCATTAATTTTTCATCGCCGTAGCTGGGACGTGAGCAGCTCAGTATTCATCATGTCAGCAGTGACCTTGATGCTGCCTCCAGCCCCCCTTGGAGAGCGTTTCCCCACCATCTGCTGAGCAACCGCCTGCCCTCCTGCCCACCAGTGATGGAAAACATCCCGGGGTGGGAGCAAGTGCAGGCAGGCGGGTACCACTGAGCAGGCAGGGAGCAGGCAGCTGAAAGCCTGCAAGGTGCTTGCACACTCCAGGGCAGCCAAACTACCTCCTGCAATGTGCACCCCTCCGGCACGTTGCAAGCCCCGAAACAAGAGAAGCAACCAAATTCCTCCCGATGAACCACACACCCAACTGCAAGAGGCTGGCGGTGTGCGTGCCGGCGGGCAGCTTGCCACCTGCAGAGTGGCCCCACTGAACACCTCGGTGTCCCCAAACACCAATGCCTTCCTCTAAAGGGAAACGAAAAATCAAAGCCCACCTGGCTTGTGAGACCCTCCTACCCTTCGAAAGCATGGCTGCATGCTTCCCATCACGATGGCATCCTCCTTTCTTGGGTGTTTTGCACGATTTTCCCCCCAGTCCCTCTGCTTTTGGATGCCCTGGTGCCACAATGCTCAAAACGAGCTAAATTTCCTTTATTTTTTATTTTGGACATGCTGTAAGCATCAGAGCGCATCGGAACCCTGCAATTCAGCGGGGATGCGGAATGAAAATGATTATCAGCAGACACATAATGATTCATTCTGTTTATAATTGCTTCAAAATGTAGGGAGAGCGGGGAGATGTAATTAACTCTTCTTTATGATTGAGATGAGTGTGTTTTCCTCGGCCGCGTGACGCTGCCACATCCAGCCACAATTTTTTTCTGGCATCTTTGGCCACATGAATGCGTAAATGTATGCACAGGATTGGGAGCATGGTGGAAAGAGATCCCCAATACACCACAAGTCCCTGGGCAGTGCGGGTATTTATTTCCCTGTAAGCCCCGGGAGGCTGCATCTGTCCCGATTTCCCCTTGGTTGTGGCGAGCAGGATCTTACATCATCCCTTGATTGAAACAGCCCCTTAATTACAGCGATGCTGGTAAAAGGACACCTTGGCCCACAGCCCAGAGGATCAGCCCATGGGTCTGGGGTCACTTCCAGGCTCCATCTCACAGAGTGGGTCTCTAGCAAAGACCCTGTGGGAGTTTGATGTTTTCGGCCAAAGCTTGGAAGGGACACGGAGCCGCGATGGGGAGCGCAGAGCTGAGGAGGGTTTGCAGAGCAGGCGGAGGTGGGGAACACATCACAAGAGGGATGCAGTGGGATGAAGGGGAAAGGGGAGCCCCTCTCCCCTGCTGACGCTGCCGGAGGGGCTCAGTTCAGCGAGCTGCCTGACATTCCAATCCTGCTGCTCACTGGGGAGGCACGAAGCCCACATTAGTCAGGGTTAAAGAAAATGTGACACTGACTTTGGGATCTTCACCCCGTGCTGTGTGTTCATGGGGCGTCGAGAGTTTGCCACTGTCTCTCCATCCATCACATGTCAGCCCAGGACGTCACCCAGAGGGGATCATTACCCAGCTCATCTATCACACTGTCTGAAGGAGATTCAGCCACAGAATTTATGTCATGGCCCCATGTCAAACAATTTCTCCTTCCTGGCTCCAGATTTTACCGTATCGCCAGAGCCAATTGCGCAGCCTCGCATCAGCCACTGATTCAGGATCAGTGAGAAGGTCGGTGCTCCCTGTGCCGGCAGCACAGGGGGGGAGCGGATGGACACCATGGCCCAGGGGGTCCCGCTGTCACCCCAACAAACCCCCCAGCCCCCTGCAGCTTGTCTGCCCCATTGCCTCATGCAGGAGGGGCTGTGGCAGGGCCTCACTGGTGTTGCAAGTAACACAAGAGTGGGAATGTGCGTGTCCCAGTTTCGGGGGTTTCTGCCTCACTCAGGCCGTGCCTGGAGAAGGCAGTGGAGAGGCAGCTCCCAGCACTGGGGACAAGAGGGCACCGTCCTGGGCCTCCTATGGTGCTGAGGCTTCCCACGGCCAGGGCAGGGCTTTTCCGGTTGAAACAAGTGCTCATGGGCAAACATAGAGGCAAAACGAGCACTGGATGCAATGATCCAGGATGGGGTTGGATGCTGTGGTGAGCCCAGGAAGGCAGCTGGGATCTGCTGCCCTGTAGCTGGTGGCTATGAGCAGTTGGTGCTGCAAATTGAGGCCTGTAACAATTAGTGATAAGAGTGTCCCATTATACCTTCTGTGGTCATGTGTATATCTGGAAGTCTCAAAGCAGGGAATATTAAGAAATTCTTTTACCAAACAACATTTAATTCTGTATTTAACAAGGCCTGAGTGATTAAAATGTACAGAGAAGATACCCTAACCTTGAGAACAGGTACACCCTGGGAGAAACGCTCAACCAAGGCAGATAAGAAAAAACAGTTTGGCCAGACAACAGAGTTGGGAAACATCTAAGAAGAAGAAATTGTCCTCAAAAGACTGTGTCCATAAAAGAGAAAAAGAAGTAGGGGGGTAACTCCCCAAACCCCCGTGTGTGCCTAGTGTAGTTTTGCAATGCCAGCACGATGTAAATGTAGTCGATGGGCAGAAAGATGGGGACTTCCTGGAAAATATATGAATATTGACATCTTTAAGGTATATAAAGGATGAACTTTTGGTTTAGCATGTGCACGTTAGGTGGAGTGATTCCCTGTGCATCCAGCGCTGTGATGCAGAACACCTGCCTTTGAAAACTTCAGACTGAGCCTGAGAGGGTTCTTTTGAGACCGAATTTACAGTACCACTTCGAGCATGAAATCCCGGCCAAAATGGCCCCAGCAAGGAGGAAGGAGGGAGCAGGAGGGAAGCAAAGTGGCAGATGGGTGAGTGCTGAAGGGCAAGGCAGCACTGCTCCATAGCCCAGGGCACACTGAGGGCCACACCAGTCCCACTCGCCTCCAGTGGCCACCCATCCTGCACAGTGTGATGGTCCAGCTACCGCGAGGTGCAGGATGTAGGATGCTCCCAGCACCATGAGCTCCCACCGCACCGAGGGGTGCAATCCTGCCCCTCGGCACGGCTGGGTGCTCAGCACCTTCCCGGGGCGCAGGTCCCAGGGTGTGGGTCCCCCGGCACCCCTGCTGCACCCTGTCGTGCTGGTACCGGGCCCCTCCTCCAGCTCTCGCTGAGGCTTCACTTTCCCCACAGGCACCTTTGCCACCAGCCGAGTGTGCCATCGACATTAATCTTTCCTTTTTAATATTTTTTTTTTCTCCCCACACAAAAGCACTCGTGTACGGCACAGGCAGGCCATAGAAGACCATGTAAATCAGCAAAAGCAGTGTCACACCAGCATTTTTGAACAGCGATGGGTCCCTGCTGCTCCCAGCCAAGCACGGGGGCACCCCGGGACCCCCATCCCACCAAGCCATCCCGAGGTGGGGGGACTGTTCTGAGCCCCCTCTCCACCTCTAAAACATCAACTTTCCTGGTGCAAAAAAGAGGCCAAAAGTCCTTCTGCGATGCAAAACGGGGCTGGGATGGAATGGGGACATGCTGCCAAATTATTTGTGTTTTCAGAAAAAGGTTTGGGGGCCTCCGGAGAGGAGCAGCTGGAGGTGCTGGGGCTCCCCCGCGGTGCGGGCCCGGTCAGGGGGGGCCGGGGAGGGCCAGGCCAGCTCAGCCCTGGCCCCGGCCGGCTGCCAGGCCCTGGTTGCCGAGTCTGCAGTGCCCTCCTGTGGGCACCGCTCCGCGGGTGCAGGGCCCGTCC